AAAAAAAAAAAAAAAAAAAAAAAAGCAACCTAGCTGAATTCATCTGTCTCCCTTGTCAAATATAATTAAAGGTGATTAAAAAAAAATTTCTATATTACTTTCACAATTTTGTCTCTCCTAAAATTTAAATGGCAGGAGAATGAACAGTGAAGAGTCCTCCTTGAGGCAATATTACCTACTTTGAGTGTCAGAAAAGACCCTAGAGAGAGTTTAAACGTGCTATTGTAAGTAACTTGCTCAAGCATCTAGCACGTTGAGTGCTAAAGGCCAGGACTAAAATCTAAGACTTCTAACTCTTGAACTAGATCTATAATGTTTGCTGTTTTTATTTTTCTACAGTAACTTTTTTTTCTCACTATTCCAGCAATATACTTAATCCTTAAAATGAATTATGATGACTCAAAAATGGACTATCAGATTTTTTAAAAATGCAATCTGTTGTGCTTAATATTATTGTTCGCTTTTGCACTGAAAAGCATAGGAAATAAAATTCTAAATTTAAGTTGGACCAAAATAATCGCAATAGTCAAATTAATTTCAAAGATACATCCTATTTTTTTAAAAAAATTAAATAACAGCCATTTTAACTTTCTGGTTTTTAAAGGAATTCTGGCTACAACTTACATGTATTGTAAGGAAAATATTTAAGAATGACATATATGCATTCTTAATTTCAGATATGAATAAAAAAGATAATAAATCATTTTTATAGTTTTTGCTAAGAGATAAAAATAGGAGGAAAACAGAATAAGTTGCCAGGAACCCCAGATGCTAGTTCAAAAGATTTAGCCTTCATAGACCTCAGTTTCAACATTTGTAAAATGGAAATATTTGGGGTTATTAGAAAGATCAAATGAGATAACACATTTAAGGAAAGTAGTCAATGTAAAGTGTTGCTAAAAACGTGAGGTGGTATTGCTATTCCCCTTCATTTTTCTAATGAAGGAAAATTTGAAAAGTTAACATTTTTTACATCTAAAGTGTATCTGGTGATTTACAAAGAAGATATTCAAGTTACTATTAAGTGCTTAATTTTATTAATCAAAAATACATTTGAACTCTCTCTGTAAAAGTAATCATTAGATCAGGTTTATAATAATGGAGGGAATAATATTAAGTGCACCATTAGAGGCCAGCACAGTGGCTTGCATCTGTAATCCCAGCACTTTGGGAGGCCGAGGCAGGCTGATCACCTGAGGTTGGGAGTTTGAGACGAGCCTGACCAACATGGAGGAACCCTGTCTCTACTAAAAATACAAAAAAATATTAGTCTGGTTTGGTGATGCATGCCTGTAATCCCAGCTACTCAGGAGGCTGAGGCAGGAGAATTGCTTGAACCTGGGAGGTGGAGGTTGCAGTGAGCCGAGATTACACTGCACTCTAGGCTGAGAAACAAGAGCAAAGCTTAGTCTCAAAACAAACAAAAAAGTGCACCATGTGCACCATTAGAAAGCCTTCCATTCCACAGACAATGGAGCATGCATGGTGCAGGAAGCACTGGGCTGGGCTTCTTGGAGAGCATATGGTGAGGATGTCATTTAAAGGAGCCATAAAGAGCGTCATACTCCATAGCCAGCTGTCCCTGAAAAGGCTAGTTTTGGAGGCAAGTAGCATCATGTTATAGCTAGCCTAAAGCCACACATGGTAGCCCTTATGGCAAAATATATATTTATTATGAACAAAAATTCCCACTTTAAAAATATAATATGAGCTATCACTATATTTATTGCCTACTGAGAATAATTTCCCTCTTCTGTCTACTTAATTTAATGGAGGGTGTGCACTCTGTCGCCTTGAGTTGACTTTCTTAAATGTGGACATAGAAAGTACATATGAAAAAAAGCTGTTCTTTATTTTAGCATTCCGATTCAGTAAATGCAAATATCTTTGAAGGAATTATTAAAATCATAATCTTTTTTTAAAGGAGACATAAAATAGAAATGAAAGCTAGTCCCCTCTGGTGTCTTATTTATGCATTCAACAAGTAAGTGCTAGACTCCCTGCTGGACACTCTGAGGGAGACCAAAATGTGTAGGGCATGAATTCACTATCCATAGAGACTGCAGCCTAAGAGGTAAAAGAAAATGTACACGTTTATTATATAAATAGGTCATAATCAGAAATCCAATGAAATAATAGTATTTTTACCAGATTTTAACAGATTTGGGTACCTAGCAGCAAGCTCTTTATTTAAATGTGTCAAAATAATACCTTATTTTTAATGCCTTCAATTTTAAAATTAATACAAATGCTCTGTTAAAGGAACATTTTGGAGCACATTCTTCCTGTTCCTTCAGGCATATAAGTGGTATGAGCTTGGGCACAAGAGAGGACACTTTGCGTCTGTCTGGCAGCGCTCACTCTACAATGTGAACGGACTGAAAGCACAGCCTTGGTGGACCCCAAAAGAAACGGGCTACACCGACTTAGTAAAGGTGAGTATAACTTAGACATTATCCTTACCAGATCTTTGTCAATTTCCTACTTAAAATCAGAGAATGTTTATCATAAAAAGGAATGTCAAGGAAGAGAGAGATTTTATTTCTAGAGACACTTGCAAAATATAATGGAAAAAAAATTGTCATCTCATTAACCAAAAGTTTCATTTAGGTGATGAAGGGAATTTGTGCAGAGTTTAGCAGTTCTCAATCTTTTTGGCCTTAGGAACCTCTTATACTCTTAAAAATTATTGACTATCCCAAGGAATGTGGTTTACATCTACCAGTGTAATCATTAGACATTAAAAGTGAAAGAAATTGTATCTATATTTATCAATTATTTCAAAATAATGTCATAACATGTCAGTATAAATAACTTTGAAAAAATTATATTTTCAAAACAGAAAATGTAATAAGATTGGAATTTGTTTTGTATTTTTACAAATCTTTTAAGAGTCTGGATGAATAGACAACAGGAGAATCCTCACATGTACTTCACACATGTACCTATTAGTGCTGTGATGTCATACCTCATGTAGCTTCTGGAAAACTCTACTGTGCGCCCAGAAAAGAATGAAAAGAACACATAATATTTTTGTATTATTAAGAAAGTAGTTTTGATCTTTCAGACTCCCTCAAAGGGTCTAGGGAACTCTCAGATATCCTTGGACCACACTTTGAAAACCACTGACCCTGCAGCTATCGAGAGAAAACACAGTTACAAATATTTTTAGAAAATGCTATGGCATAAAATACTGTGGCATTTAGGGAAAATAACTGATTCTAACTTAATAGTTAAAAAAAATTGGAAGGTTTTATATTAGTAGGTTAAACCTGAGCTTTAACACTCTCTACTTGGTCACTTTGGTAGGGGCTGGTCTTGGTAAGCCCCTTCTTCTTAGACACAGTCATAAAATGAGACTCACAGTTAAATAACTCATAGTTTCAATCATGTTGTTTTCACTCAAAATGTAAAAACTTCATGCATCTTACAGGTTAGATGGGCTTCAGGATTTTGGCCTCAGACCCTAATTGCCATTTATATATGGCTTACATAAGAAAATACATTCTGATGTTCAAACAATTGATTTTACATGTGCAAGAAGCGGGAAGGAAGAGCAAGAGTGCCAAAATATTGATCATGCTAGAATCTGGGTGATGGATATATGGAAGTTTGTCATACTGTTCTTTTTTCCTTCAGGTATATGTTTAAATTTTTCATAATTTTTTCTTTAAATAACATCTAAAATGAACTGTATTTCTAAGACTTACAAGACTTCATCGATTAATTTGGCCTACTTCGGGAAAAGAGAAGTTTTCATGTACTTAGATTATGTCTTACTTGACTGTGTTTATTCTGTATGTCATCATAAAAGCACATTTTATAATCCTCATAATCCAACTGTAAAGTAGGCTGCCATTGGTTAGCCTTTGAATATTTTATAGCTCAGGGAACCGTGGTGTGGTTACAGTTAATGCAGATTGATATTTAAAAGTTCCATCTCCAGATTAGAAATAGTACAGGAACATCTTCCTTGGTAGGACTGCTACATTTAGCACTGTCAGGTTTTTTGTTGTGTGTTTTGTCAGATTCCACCCTCCCTCAGATTGGATCCCATTGAACTTTTCCGATTCTGCTTTACTATCCAATTTTTTTTCATGATGTCTTTGTGGGTTTATTTCTTTGCTGTACCTTTTGGGATCCTTTCACATTCAAGACACAGAAATGCAATTCAAACAACACATAGCTGGAAGCCTGGCAGTAGGGCAGACTTCACGGGTAATATAATCAAGGGAAGATGTTCTTGGCTCTCCACTTCCTCCGTGGCCAACTTTGTCCTTGTGCTAGCTGACTGCAGGGTGGCCGCCAGCAGCCACTGAAAGAGAGGGGGAGAGAATGACATTGCTGAGCCACCACCCCAGCACTAAATGGCCTTCTGGAAACCTCCTGGCAGACCCTCTTCTATTGGTGAGAACCATGTCTCATGGGCACTCACAGCTACAAGAGAGTCTGAAACACCAGGCGGCTGGCAACAGGCTGAGGCAGCCAACTTCCAGGAGGAGAGGCTGCCTCTCCATCATCCAAGGACCAGTAATCTTTCCTTTCAGTCTTACTGAGCCAATTTAAGCCAAATTTCCACTCTGGATGAAATACTGGCAGAGGGCTATGCGATTATTCTCAAACCAACAGATGAACCCCTCGAGCCAGGAAAGGGCTAGTTTCCTCTAAATCAAATAAATGGTTTACCTGGAGGAAGGTGGATGCTCAGACAAAGTCAGGGTTTTGTTAAGAAGAAAGCAGCATGACTGATGTTGTGAAGGCGTCCACTATGGACTGACATGGGCCCAAACATTGTTCTTTGCTCTCTGTTCTCTTTTTCTTGCGGTTCATTTTCTAAGAAATCTTCACCACTGTGGTTTAACTGCTGTGAAAAATTCTACCAAATCTATGCTCCCCAAATAGATTTCTGACGCTTTCTAGTCTATCTTCAGCTCTATTAAAACATGAACATTCAGTGTGAAAATTAACTCACCACGTAACCCGTTGGTTAATATCCGTTTCCAGCTTTACCGTTTTGGTCAGTGTCTTAGTCCATTTGGGTGGCTGTAACAAAATGCCATAAACTCCATGGCTTATAAACAATAGAAATTTATTTGCAGAAGTCCAAGACCAAGGTGTTGGCAGATTCAGTGTCTGGTGAAGGCCTGTTTCCTGGTTTGTAGATGGTGCTTTCTTGCTGTGCCTTCACATGATGATGGAAGACAGAAGGCAGCTCTCTGAGGCTTTTTTTTAAAATTTATTTAAAGACAATAATGTGACCTAAATCACCTTCCAAAGGCCCCACTTCCTAACACCATCACATTAGTGGTTAGATTTCAATATATGAATTTGGGGGGCACACACATTCAGACCTGCAGTCAGTGATCCAGCTTTTATCTCTTTCCACTGCCTTTTACCATCCTCATTCCAGCCAGAAATCTTCGAACCACCAGACCTTCCCATATGGTAGCACTCTTTCCTGGAGAACTCCTTCTTTTACCTTTCTCCTTTCCTTCTGCATTCCTCACAGCCAATTCCTATTTATCGTTCAGATGTTACATAAATTGTCACTTCTTCTAGGAGTATCAGTCCTTTGCATAAAGCCAAATGCACTTTATACTTTCTTTTTAAATAGCACACTATATTCTAAAGTGTCTTAGTTCGCTGAGACTGTGTGTTCTAAGATGACAGGGACCATGTCTCTAATATTTGATGGGTTCTCAAAAATTAGGTTCATTGCATGACCTTCTATAAGCTTTCTTTCCTCTAGTTTTTTCATATATGTGTTACAAGCCCCAGGTATAAAAATCTCACTACTAAGCATTTCTGACATATAAGAAGTTGCAACAGGCCAGGCACGGTGGCTCACGCCTGTAATCCCATCACTTTGGGAGGCTGAGGTGGGTAGGTCACAAGGCCAGGAGTTCGAGACCAGCCTGGCCAGCCTGGTGAAACCCCATCTCTACTAAAGATACAAAAAATTAGCTGGATGTGATGGTGCATGCCTGTAATCTCAGCTACTTGGGAGGCTGAGGCAGGAGGATTGCTTGAACCTGGAAGGCAGAGGTTGCAGTGAGCCAAGATCGTGCCATTGCACTCTAGCCTAGATGACGGGGTGAGACTCCTACTCGGGGGGGGAAACAAAAAAGAACAAGAAATTGCAACAATTGGTATCCTTGGTTTTTCTTGTGAGGAAAATTCTCCCTTACTGCACTGTACCAGGAGAGGAAGGCCCAGAGAGAATGAAAACTCTCTCTACCTGCTATTTTAGGAGCAAGGGACAAAGGCATTCTTTTTCTTGAAATCGTTACTGCTTACGAGTGAAGGATATTTTGAATGTTCTCAGTTGCTGATGAAACCTCAAGCATTTAATTGCTTATAAAACACTGGATAGTGAGGCAGAACATCAGAATGGCAGAGGGAATGTCTTCATAAATCTACCCCTCCACAAAAGCACTGAGAAAAATTGTTCAAATCAACTTCTTTAGAACTCCGTACATTGACAAAGATATGCAATAATTAGAGGAATATTTATTGAGAAAAAACTGCTGAACCTCAAAAAGAGTAGCAGGGTTGGTGGGATAGTAACTTCAACTGCACCCAGCTATTCTTCCTAGCTCCAGGGTAGTCTGAAAACTGGCAGTCTCACAACACTGGAGCTGTGAAACCCACAGCTTTCCAGGCACTAGAGGAGCCACGTCAGGTTTTTAGTATCTCACAAAGTTCCATACCCAGAGCATTGTCACTATTCTAAACCTCTCTCTTGCTACCTGGAAAGCCGCATTCTCAGGACATTGTTATTATTTGTCCTCACTTGTAAGAAAAGCTCTATTCCCAAGCTATTAGTCAAAACAATCATTGGCAGGTGTTTTTGTTTGTTTGTTTTTACATTACAAGTGCCAAGAGCAACTACAGGTAAGGCTACAGGCAGTAGAGATTTACAAAATTAATCCAGAAAGTCAGTAAACAAATAGCAACAATGATAACAAAAATGAATAACAACAAATTTTAGGAGAGGGACAGAATTGCCACATTATATTATCTAAAAAATGTCCAATTTCAACAAAAATTATATGATACACAAAGAGGAAAGTCTATACATACACCAAAAAGTGTACAGTCAATAAAATCTGTCCATGAGGAGCCCTGATGATGAACTTACTAGACAAAGGCTTCAAATCAGCTATCATCAGTGTATTTAAGTAACTAAAGAAAACTATGTCTAAAGACTTAAAAGAAATTATTATGATGATGTCTCAC